CTATAAATACCCACAATCTCCATTAATTTAAATAAACTCTATCAGATTTCCCTTTAAGTATATGCTTTATCAGAGAACAAGAAGTATGCCCAGGAAATTAAATAGGATTACAAAACGTAGTAGAATTCTAATATTAAAGGAAGTGGGTGATGTCTTGAATCCAACAAGTATGTTAGGAGACAGTGTTTATGGGTGACAGCTTTAGTGTCTGAGTAAAGTCATCTCTGACATAGGAGGTGAAGCATTTTCAAGGACAATGTCATTGGTTAGGTTGATGTTGCATAAGGAATTGTCATCACCCACTAGGGATGCCATCTAGGATGTGGGGCTAACGTATCACTTTCAAGAGGGGACGAACTTAAACTGACATAGGCCTCTAAATCATAAGCCAACAAAAGTCACAAACCAGTTGTGACTGTCACCAGAATGGGGCATAGATGTGCCTGACTGTTTGGAGCAATTTATATTAAAAAAGGATGCATATTTAAAAAAAATCAATGTTCAACTGGTCTCAGAGGAGTGTGGCCTCCATATGGTCAGCAACTCTTAAGAGATAAGATATAAGATTGAAAATGTGTAAAGAGAAGGTAAGGCCTAAGACAAGGTGGAGAGTTCTAGAGACTTATTTGTTGAACTGGAATTCAAAAAGGAGTGGGAAGAGATGCATCCACTTCAACCATTAGGTTGAAACTGTTATAAGATATGAAAGTTCTATTGAATTTATCTTCTAAAGATTCAGCCTGGGTTATTCTCAATAAATGTGTGACTTGGGTTGCTTCCAAAGCCACAGTTCAGGAGAAAATAAGATGTCCTGGCAAGGCCTTTTTCTTTGGCTTTAGTATGTTTGGAGAATCATATGGTTGTCATTTATGTTTTTAACATCTTTGACATGAGACTCCTAGGATATCTTACCATGAAGGGAAGTTTTAAGCAATGGCTCAGTGGTTTACAGTAATGAAGAAGTTAGGATAGCCACCTTGTCGGCCAGGGTCTCCAGTGCCAATAATGATGGTATCAGGGGTTGCAAAGCTTGCAACTTCTTTGATCTTGTCATTTACTTGGGGACATTTTGGGAAAAGGGTAAAAGTCAACAGCTTCTACTAATTTAAATTTGTAAACAAAATTAATGAATGTAAAGCTGAGCATGGTGGCATATGCCTGTAGTACCTGTGCTGGAGAAGCTGAAGCAGGAGTATTGCCTCAAGTTCAAGGTCAGCCTGGGATACTTAGTGAGTCCCAGGTCAGTCTGAGTGCTACACTGGAAGTCCTTCACTCTTCCTTTATGGAGCCATTACTACTCATGACCAGTCCAGTGGTGTGCTCCATCCTTTAGAAAGTGCAAAGGCTGTCTGTGTACTAATACATATTATCACCCAACAGACATGTCCATCTCTGGAAATCATGCCAAAAGTGCAAAGAATGACAAGCACCATGTTTTGTGTGTTTCACATAATTTAACTATATCTCCATTACTATTTTTTGAATGTGTTTAATTTATTAGTCAAAAACAAAATGAAAGGGTTGGAGGAATATCTCAATATTAGACACTTGCCTAGTATCTTCAGGCTCAGTGTTAGAACCCAGCACTGAACAAAGGTAGTAAAATAAACTTCAAAAACTAAAAATAGGGCCTGGAAAGATGGCTTAGCCGTTAGAAGTATTTTCTACTCTTATAAAGGACCAAGTTCTGTTCCCAGCACCCACATGGTGGTTCACAACTTCCTATAACTCCAGGTTCAGGGATTCCAATGTCCTCTCCTGGACTCTGTGAGTACCCACACACATGTGGTAGTTATATATACAAGCAGGCACACACACATGACATAAATAATAATTAATTAAAGTATTCAATCAACAAGAGTATGAATGAATATACTTCCTAGTTTTTGTAAATTATATGGAAAGTGTTAAATATTCCTTTGGTTGTTTTATGTCCCGAGGAGTGGGGAAAGAGGGCGAAGGCAAAAAGGAGTTCCCCTTTGAGTTTGACTCCTCCCTCGTGAAGCTTTTCCGTTCTTAAGAACGAGACGATTATTTTAAGAACGAGATGATTGTTTTCATCCGTGGTCATCCACTTTCTTACGGAGAACACTTCTATATATGCAATAGCACAAGGAGACAGAAGAGCCATCGGAATCATTCAACTTTGGAATGGGCAGGCTCAGAATGGTTCTTCTTGAAGATGCTGGACCTCCCGGTAAATGTGTCTCATTTAGACTTATCCTTTCGTGGGGTTTAGAGGTGTTCTGATAGCAAATAAATGTGACTAGCATAGGAGAGCAAGGAATGGAAAGGGGCATTTGAAGTGTTTGTCATCAGTCGTAGATCCCAACCCGAAATCATAAGGAAGGAAACAGTGTTTGTATAGTTTTATGTAGTTGCTGAGATGAAAGATAAGTCAGAACCTGAAATAAACAGAACTGCCCTTGAGTATGAAAACAGGAGTTGTCAAGAAAGGTAAAGTGTAGGAATCAATATTCATTAAAAGTTGATTTCCAACAGATATTTGGAGAACCAAGTCAGTGCAAAATTCTACTTCATGGTGTGCATGGACCAGCTAACATCATTCCTCAGTTTTACATGAGTGTTGAATTGTGGTCACTGTGGAGCTGAGAGATGTAATAGTACTAAGCATATTTGATGCTGTGTGTGGAGATGAGATGGCTAACTTTTGGGTATTTGGGATGCCAAGAAGACTGTTTGTCACCCTACTGAGAATGTAAGCACCATTGGTGGAACAGTCGTGACATGAGAAATATCCATTCTCTCGTGAACTTGCTGTCTAACTGTGTGGACCAGGTAGACACAGAGAGTAATTGATGCTGAGAAGGCAGAGGGACAGAACGCTCAGATTCCTGTCCTGTAGTGTACAGAGAGCATTGCCACACCCGGTTTCACTGATGCCTCTTTAAGACCTGCCTGCCTTTAAAATTTGCTTCCATACTCAGTATTCTCACAAATCCCCACTCCTAGGCTGAATGTAAGTTCGGCATCTGTGTCTTTCCTGTTTGCCTCCAATTTGGAAGAAAGGGCCTTTCTTTTTATTGGTTTAGTCTTGTCAGATTCTAAACCCTGAACCTCTTCCTCTCCGGAATCTCTCATTAGTAAGCTTTGCTTCTGTCCTTTGTTTCATAGGTTGCAAAAGGTTTGTCTGTTTAGGGACCTTCATTGTGGCCACAATCTCACTTCTCAGTGCCTCTGCTGTCACTAACTCTCCTGGTGAGTATTTCATCAAATTTACTTATGGCCTTAGCCCACTCTGATATGAACTGTCAAACAAAATTCACAATTCTATGTATGTTAAGTATCATCTACATATCTATGCTCCACAGAGTTAGACACTTGCAGATCTCTTTGCACACTGGTATATAACAAGTGCTGAAAATGTTAGTTTCTTCATGGACCCCCATCTTTCATTACCATGTTGACTCAGACATTAAAAGTACTCAATAAAATTCTAAGCAGAAGACACTGAATTATTACCATGGTCTTCCCTCAAACGAAACAATCCCATGTTACAAGAAGATTGAAAGCAGTGTGTGGCAGGCTAAAAAAAAATAGAGGAGAAGAAAGCACAGAGTTTGGGGGAAAAGAGAATTCCGAAAACACTTTAATAAATTCAAAACTTAAATTTTACATTAAAAAATTTATTGCAGAAAGTGAGGCAGGTAGGCCCACTGGGTTCCTCAGTTAAGCCAAAGTAACAGAAAAAGAAAAAAGCATCTGAGGTAATCTGGGAAAGGGAAGGAGGAAAAGGTTTATTTTGTCACAGACGGTAAAAGGAAAATAACTCTCTTCCTTTCTGTTTTAAAAGACTAGTTTCAGTAGACTTCAACTGCTTTGTAAATTTTTATATAAATGTGTGAAGTGAAATGGGTATTTAATCCCCTTCTACTTGTTTTTCCATCCCCACATGGTCACTGTCAACTTTATTTCTATTGAGTTTATGACAGGAAGAAACACACGTAGCTCACCCCTGCGACACTCTGTGCATCTTATCCTAGAAGGTATAAACCGCCATGGCTAAGAATACACAGTCATACAACTAAAATTTCATAGATTACCGTGCCGTTAGCTTTCCCAGCTCTACTTGAAGCCTGTGGCACTAATGATTCTATCCGGTGCTGCAAAATAGCATTCTCCTGTGGTACCACAGTGGGGTCAGGACAGTCTCAGCTCTGACTCTAAGTCATATGTAAGTAATGTAAAAGCACAGCCTGCTGTCTGAACTCCGTTTGGCCATCATTGCTGTGTTCAATTGTTATTGCAGGAGGAATGAAAAAGGAACTGAGACTGACTGGTGGTGAAAACAACTGCACTGGGAGAGTGGAACTCAAGATCCGTGAGAAGTGGGGAACAGTGTGCAAGAACGGCTGGAGCATGAATGAGGTTTCTGTGGTCTGCCGGCAGCTAGGATGCCCAACTTCTATCAGAGCCCTTGGATGGGCTAACTCCAGTGCAGGCTCTGGGGACATCTGGATGGATAAAGTTTCTTGTACTGGGAATGAGTCAACTCTTTGGGACTGCAAACATGAGGGGTGGGGAAAGCACAACTGTACCCATGAGCAAGATGTTGGAGTGACCTGCTCAGGTAAGGATTACCTGCGTTCAAAGCAAATCCCATGCACGTATTTCTGACTCAAAGCACAGCATCCCTCTCTTGGAAAAAAATACTGGGCCGAATTCTAGCACAATCATTCCCTGATGCTGTGGTTTTATGCAAACTATTTAATCTTTCTGAGCATCTGATAACTCAATGATAAGACACTTGCAGATCTCTTTGCACATATATATAACAAGTATATATATAACAAGTATATAACAAGTGCTGAAAATCTTAGTTTCTTCACGAACCCCCATCTTTCATTACCATGTTGACTCAGCCATATCCATCTCTTCCTCCTCCTCATTTTTTTAAATTATTAATTTTTATGATGGGAAAACAAAAGTAGCATTTACAACAAATTTCAAAGTCATAAGAAATCTTCTCAGGCTCTTACCTGTGTAGAGAGTTGATATTCAGCTATGACTTCCGTGGAGTGCGCTCTGCTCTCATTTTCTTACATGATGAAGAGTGAAATTCAACTTACTTTTAGAAGCTTATAAACGTAAAGGTGCAACCAGAACCTAATAAGAGAAAAGGAACCAATAGCCACTGGAGGCTCACTGGTTTCATAGGAATCTGCGTATGTGAGGTCCTTCACCCTAATTGCTGCTTAGTCTGCAGAGTCTACCTCTTGGGAGATGGCAGCACACTATCCAACAGAAAACTGGTGCCAGGCCACTCCCCCAACCTCTGTGCTGCTCACATCTTAGCTCCACGATCTTTCTTGGTGATCAGTACTAGGCCCGCTGCTGAGTCTCAGATCTCTGACCTATGCAGTGGGCTAGTGATGAGAGCATGTAGTGTTTGAACACGTAAGAACTGGAGACTACGGCATGCGGTACTCTCATGTATACTTTATGACCTCTTACTCTTATTAATTGTTATTACTAATTGCCCATAACAAGCCTTACTAAGTTAAGGTCATTGGTTGGAGTTTATAGTTCATAAAATTTAATTTCTTGTTTAAGAAAGAAAGTGCTTCTGAACATTTTGTCCAACTGTACCTTCTCACGTGTCCCCAGATTTCAGCCAGAGTCCCCCTTCTTCATGTATTTTACTCTTCACAGGAACTCATGGCATGAGAAACAAATTTCAGTTTTAAAAAAATGAAAACAAAGCCTCCTCTTTTTGCTGAAAATGATCGTAAACTCCTTGGGGAGAAAACAAACTTTGATTCAGAAAACTGAAATAAGCTATTTTCCCACAATTTTAAAGAAGTTGACAGCACATAATGCTTTGTGAGTTGTTGTGTTTATTCAGGCATTTTCATCTTTGCCTTTTATTATTTTCTAATTTCAAATTCAACATCAATTATTTATTCTCAGAACTCTTTTGCTATGGAGAGGTTAAAACAAGGAATCTAAGCATTCAGTAAATAACCATTTTCTCATTTTCAACAACTTGATTAGAAGGCCAATTTCCTTTTTTTGCTTTTTTTTTCCTGTATGTGAATAATGAGCCATATTGACCTTTTCTATAACAAAGAATATTTTGATCTATAACACAATTTCCTTGGAAAGTGGATGTAGAGGAAATCCTTATTGTGCATTGGATTTTAGCAGGTCAAAATTCTCCAATATGTGGAAATAGGCAGCATCTAAAAGCCAAACACTATTTTTTAAGAATATCATCAAATCCCAAGTATCTAGGAAGTCCTAAACGATTCATTGCTTATGAATGAACTTCGCTACCTAACCTTGGTCTTCTCTCTAGATGGATCCGATTTGGAGATGAAGTTGGTGAACACCAGGGCCCACCGGTGTTTAGGGAGAGTAGAAGTGAAGTTCCAGGGAAAGTGGGGGACAGTGTGTGACGACAACTTCAGCAAAGACCACGCTTCCGTGATCTGCAAGCAGCTCGGATGTGGAAGTGCCGTTAGTTTCTCTGGCTCAGCGAAATTTGGTGCTGGTTCTGGACCAATCTGGCTTGACGACCTGATGTGCAGTGGAAATGAGTCAGCTCTCTGGGACTGCAAACACGGAGCGTGGGGAAAGCACAACTGTGACCACGCTGAGGATGTTGGAGTGATCTGCTTAGGTAAGGACGCCTCTTGGCTTTCTGCTCTCTGGGACAGACGAAAGGAAAAGGTGCCGGAATTGTAAACCCGAGTCCTTGAGAACATAATGAATTCCAATGAACTACTATCAGCTCTTTACTGTCTCATTTGGGGTCCCAGCTCTAACGTTTACGCATTCACCGACTGAAATCAGGAAACTGAAGTAGTTAGAGGGAGCCAGAGAAGTGCTGAGTAAGAGAGTCCTTACTGCTCCTACAGAGGACTTGGCCTCGGTTCTCAGCACCCATGTGATGACTCACAACTGCCGGTCGCTCCAATTCCACAAGATCTGGTTCCTCTTTCCCTGATCTCCAAGGGTACGCCCACACATGGTGCATATACACATGCTCAGGCATACAATGTACATGTAAGCAATTCAAAATAAATAAACAAGCAATTAAAACAGTTACAAGAAAAATGACAAATAGCAAAATATACTTCCATCATAAGGAGCGAGTTTAAGAAAATCACGATAGAGGTTGAAGACAGGGTAAAGAGAGGCAGGGGATGCTGAAGAGGAAGGGTGCTGAAAGGAGGCTTGAAAAAGAAAGGGGTAAAGAGCAGAGTGGTTAGAGTGGCCAGTAGTGAGTTTTTTAAAGCTTTTGTATATTCAAATATTATATTACATTTCTCCCTCATGACCTGATGTAGGAGAGTCTTCTATCTATCTGTTGCTTTCATTGGTTAATTAATAAAGAAAACTGTCTGGCCTGATAGGTCAAGACATAGGTAGGCGGGGAAGACAGAACTGAATTCTGGGAGGAAGAAAGCAGAGACAGAGAGCTGCCTGCCATGAATCTGCCAGGTCAGACATGCTGAATCTTTCCCAGTAAGCCACGACCTCGTGGTGAGATACAGATTATTAGAAATGGGTTGAATCAATATGTGAGAGTTAGCCAATAAGAGGCTAGAACTAATGGGCCAGGTAGTGTTTAAAAGAATATAGTTTCCGAGTAATTATTTCGGGTAAAGCTAGCCGGGAGCTGGGTGGCGGGATGCAGCCCGCCGCTCCTTATTACTACAATGACCCCTTATCTTTTCCTTGTCTTTCTCCCTCCTGTTAGTATTCTCTGTCCTTTTACTTCTACTTTCATGTCATTTCTAGATAAGTAGGTAGAAGATAGGCAGATGATAGATAGATAGATAGATAGATAGATAGATAGATAGATAGATAGAAGAAATAGATAGATCATAGAGATAGATGATAGATTGAGATACAAATATAGAAATATCACAAATACATAATTTCATGTATCTATGAAAAAAATCACAACTGAAATAACATTCACTGCTTGTATTTCTGAGGTTGGTTTAAAAACAAACCACCCTCCTCATCATCCTCGATCATAATCCTTTTCAACCACCTCGACCTGCCCCTTCCCAAACCATCAGCTCAAATCCATAGAATTCAGTAATTAAAAATGAAAGTGCCAGAACAGAGACTTGGGTTACCCACGAGCAGGCACTGCCTCAGCCTGGTGATGATAACACTCCCCACAGGGATCCAGCCTGTCAGCTTGTGTTTGTCACGGGGTAGTCTTCAGAATCAAGAATGGCTTTTTAAGGGGTGTTGATCGAGGGGGAGGTGAGAGGAATGGGTCATCCCCTTCCCCCACTGCTCTGCCTTGAAACTAAGAAGTTTCCTATTAGTTGCTTTTCCATCACTATGGTTAAACACCATGATAAAGGCAGCTTATAGAAGGAATGGTTTATTTGGGTTTAAGGGACCATCACAGTGGGATGCAGGACAAGCATGACAAGGGTTGACTCGGGTCATTGAAGCACCAAGCTGAGCACTCACGTCTGAAAACGCATGCACAAAGCAGAAGGGGAACCGGGAGTGGTGTAATGCTTTAAAACCTCAAAACCATTCCCCCAGTGGCGCACTTCCTCCAGAAAGGCCATGCCTCCTAAGTCTCCCAAACAGTGCCACTAACTGAGAGGCAAGTGTCCAGACATCTGAACCTGATGGGGAAGAGTCTCATTCAGACCACCACAGATGCTCACAAAAGGGCCAGGCACACAGCAGAAGCAGGGTAACGGAGACTGACCGTGTGGTTAACAGTGAAAGCAGATGCTGAATGTTTACACAAGCTTGAGTTTGAGGTGAGAAACCTAAACACAGGCAGATATATTTCAGCAAGTTAGAGTAAACAATTCTACATCCATTGTAGTGACCAAACAGGCACAAAACTGTCTCTGAGGCACTTCCCAAAGTAAGTACCATCCTTGCCTCATGCACTTTGCCTTCTTTCCGTAGCGACTTGTAATGGTGCTGTAGAATTCCTGCCTCTGTCCATGTCTCCACCCCTTTCTTTGACGCAGCTACAGCTGCTTTTAGTCACATTATTCTTATTTCCCTTTCACTAAGTTGCTGTTGGTTGTTGTCGTTGTTGTTACAGAGGGAGCAGATCTGAGCCTGAGACTGGTGGATGGAACGTCCAAATGCTCAGGAAGACTGGAAGTGAGATTCCAAGAAGAATGGGGGACTGTGTGCGATGACAGCTGGGATAGTCAGGATGCTTCCGTGGTGTGTAAGCAGCTAGGATGTCCAACCGCTATCGCCGGCGTTGGTCGAGTTAATGCCAGTGAGGGATCTGGACCAATCTGGCTTGACAGTGTTTCCTGCAACGGAGATGAGCCGGCTCTTTGGGAGTGTAAACACCAGGAATGGGGAAAGCATTACTGCCATCACAGAGAAGATGCTGGTGTGACGTGTTCTGGTGAGTTCAAACGAAAGCCAAATCCAGGAGGGAAGAACCTGCATTCACTAGAAAGACGAAGAAGTGGGAGTTTTGAGTCCTGGACATAATTCATTTATTGTTGGGAAATCCTTCACAGCTCTGAAAAATGTGGCACATTCTTCATAGGAGGGATGCTTGGCTCTGTTCTCCGTTACTAGGAGGAGTGCTTAGAACCACACCTTAAATTCTAAATCTATGTGGAGCTTAAACAGTTGGCATAAGGGACTATGACGAACAGCATGCCTGTTTGAGTGTGTGTGTGTGTGTTTAGCATTTTTAGTCTTTAGAACTATGTACCATTTACAATAGAATTCACACTCTACATTTGTTTATTAAATCCTCAAGAAATAGGTAAGCAAAAATTGGGTTTGGTGACACACGCCTATAATCCAAACCACTTGGGAGAAATGATAGGGCAGAGGGATGGTAGATTCAAACACATTTCAGGCAACTTACTGAGACTCCATCTCAAAACTTAAACCAATAGTATAAAGTGGCATCAGGCATACAGCCTTTGTCCAGTTTATGTAAGGAACATTATTGAGGTTTAATCCTCCATAATGCTAAGAAACAAGCAAGCAAGTAATCGGAGGTAGGTAAGTCATAGTTTCCATTGTCTTGGTATCTGGGAAGGAGGGGAGGACAGGTGTGTTTTGGGACACGGTGTCTCCCCAGGTTCCTTCAGCCTGTGCTTATGTTTCTTCGGCAGATGGGTCAGATGTGGAACTGAGACTTGTAGGTGGAGGCAGTCGCTGCTCGGGAACTGTGGAGGTAGAGATTCAGAAGCTGGTAGGGAAGATGTGTAGCCGAAGCTGGGACCTGAGTGATGCTCATGTGGTCTGTAGACAGCTTGGATGTGGATCTGCACTCCAGATATATGCTAAAACCTACTCCAAAAGTAAGGAGACAGA